GAGGGAGGCGCCGGCAGACAGAATTCCGCTCCCACGTCGTGGAGCGAGTGGTGTCATTGATGGGCCGGCACATACGAAGTAGGGCGGTGGTGTTGTCTCGAGACCCCCGTAGCATAGCGGAAAGAGAAACGGGGAGGGGCATCGGAAGGGGGCAGGAATAAGGCAGAGAGGCGGGGAGTAAAAGAGGAGGGGAGGGCTAGGGAAGGGGAGATGGGGACAGCGGTCCTGGCAGGGTGACCTAAAGGGGGAGGGGAAATCGGTCCTGACAGGGGGGCCAGAAAAGAAGCCATAGGTGACCGTTGCATTCCTCCCGCATCCTTCCGCAAGCCCCGCACCGCCGACCGCCAGGAATTCCCGCCAACGCAGGCGCCCCCCCTGGCAGACCACCTCTGTCAGACAGGTCGGGGGCACGATGTAAGAGGAGAGAGAGGGGGAAAGGCCCCGCCACACACCTGCGCCCCCAGTGGCAGACGGAGGCGGCAGGGGGATATTTTAAAACATACCCATCTTGGGAGAGCTCTGTTAAGGGGCGGGGAGCGGGAACGACCACATGAGTGACGCCACGGCGGCACATGTGAAACCGCGGCGGCATGGGTCGAACCGTCACCGTCGGTGTACTGGGTTGGCGAGCGGACGCCAGAAGTTATTGGATTATTGAATCGCTTCGCTCATTCCGCCGGCCCATTTCGCATGACTGAGCCTCTTGGGGCCGCTGGGGGGCCTCTTCAGCGCCGCTTGGGGGCCTCCTGAGGGCCTCTTGGGGGCTTTTGGGGCCTCTCAGGGGCCTCTTGAGGCCTCCTGGGGGCTTCTTAAGGCCGAGGGCTCGAAGTTTTGTTTTGTGTTCCCCCTTTGGGGTATCGCTTGGGGCCTTCTTGGGCCCCTCTTGGGCCGTCTTGGATGCCTCTGGGGCCGTCTTGGAGCCCTCTTGGGCCATCTTGGGGCCTTCTTGGGAGCTTCTTGGGCCCTCTTGGGGCGATCTTGGGGGCCTCTTGGGCCGCCTTGGGGCGTCGGGAAGCCGAAAAGATGGACACGCCAAAACCTGCCCAAAACCTAAGGAAAAGTAAGGATTTTTGCCTCTTGGGGCCCTCTGGGGAGTGCTCTTGGAGGCCTCTTGGGGCGTCTGGGGGCCATCTTGGGCGTCTTGGAACGATCGTGTGGCATCTCGGAGCACTCTTGAACCATCTTGGAGGGCTCTTGGCGGCCTCGTGGCCCTTCTTGGGGCTCTCTGGAGGGCCACGGGGGCGGCGCCCAGGAGGAAAACCATCTCTGACCCGAGTCTGCCGGGGATCGCCCGGGGTACTTTTCGTCCGGGGACCCCCAGGGGCCGCCCCGCGCGCGCGAAGTAGAAGTATTATTTAGCAGTTACCGGTATTGGATTATTGACATTGACAGGCACCGTCAGCCAGCAGGGAATAAATCCAGTTCACGGCCCCATGGAGGAATAGGTCGAATTGGTTGGTTGGTGTATTGGTCTACGGTGTAAATAAGGTGTGGTCGGTGCTGTAAGGTGTTCATCGGGTGTAAAGAAGATGGGTATGAGGAGGCAGAAGCGTGGAGAAACCAGATATGCAGGAGGATAGAGGAGAACGAAGGAAAGAGGGAAGGGGGGTAAGAGGAAAAAGAGGAGAGCAAGGGGGGATGAACGAGGGAGGGGGGTGAGGAGGATGGTGATGATGTTCGTGGTGCTGCTGATAGTGGTGATGCGGAGGAGGAGGAGGTGGTGGAGGAGGAGGAGGACGAGCAGCAGGGGGATGAGGATGACACGAAGGAGGAGGATGAGCAGGAGGAGGAGGAGAGGAGGAGGGAGAGGAGGAGGAGGAGGAGGAGGAGGGGAGGAGGAGGAGGAGGAGCAGCAGCAGCAGGATGATAATCATGGGTGGAGGGAGCGGAGGGATGAGGAGGAGGGAGGGAGGGGAGGGAGGGAGGGAGGGAGGAGGATGGGGAGGCGGATGAGGGGGAGGGACGGACGGAAGAGGATGCTGCTGCTGCTGCTGCTGAGGAGGAGGAGGAGGAGGAGGAGGAGGAGGAGGAGGAGGAGGAGGAGGATGACGATCAGGATGAGGATGAGGAGGAGGAGGAGGAGGAGGAGGAGGAGGAGGAGGAAGATAAGGATCAGGAGGAGGAGGAGGAGGAGGAGGAGGAGGAGGAGGGGGAGGGAGGGAGGGAGGGAGGGAGGGAGGGAGGGAGGGAGGGAGGGGTGGTGGTGGTGGTGCGGGTGGTGGTGGTGGTGGTGGGGGGGAGGAAGGAGGGAGTGACGGAGAGGACGTGGGAGATAGAGGCATGGAGGAAGTGAGGAGAACGAGGGGGATGATGCCGATGATGGAGACGGTAGTGCTAATGATGATAATTGAGATTATGATGGGAATTCTAGCGGAGATCGGAATGCTGATGATGATGCTGAGCTTGACGATGCCGCTGACGATGGTGGTCATGATAATGATACAGTTGACGATGACGACGGTGATGCCGATTATAGTGATGACGATGACGATGCCGACTATGATCTGCTGCTGCTGATGATGACGATGATGACGACGACGGAGAGGGCGATGAGGAGCCCTTTCTTCCTCCCTTTCCCTCCTCTCGGCGCGGGGCAGGAACTGGGAGATAACATCAGGGACCTGAAGGAGCAGCTCAAGGCCCAGGGGCTGAGCAACAAGGCCGCGGGCCGGGTGCATCGCTCCCAACAGCCCCCGCGCCACCGCCGCCGCCATCGTCACCGTCGTCGCCGCCACCGTCGCCGCCGTCGCCATCGTCGCCACCGTCGCCACCGTCGCCACCGTCGCCGTCGTTGTCGTCGTCGTCGTCGCGGTCCTTGTCGTCGCCGTCCTTGTCGTCTTAGTCCTCATCCTCCCAGGTGGATGAGGGGAGCAGGGAAGGAAGGAAAGATGGTGGGGGAGGTTGAGGAGGCGGAGGAGGGGGAGGAGTGGAAGGGATGGGGGATAGGGGTGAGGTAACAAAATGGAGGAGTGGAGTGAGCAGGAGCGGGAGCCGTATCCGCGGCTGCCCCCCATTCATACTCCGATGGGGGGCGGGGAGAAGGGCGAGGAGGCCGAGCATGGGAGGAGGAGCGCCTTTTCGGCAGCCTCCGCAAGGCGGATTCGTGACCTCGGGGGCGCGCCCGCTGCGTGATTTACAAGGGATCGTGGCGTCAGGGGCGCGAAATTGGTGTAATTTACAAGGGATCGTGGCCTCGGGGGCGCGATAATTATGTAAATTACATGAGATCGTGGCTTCGGGGGTGCGAATGTGGTGTAAATTACAAACAAAGGATCGTGGCCTCGAGGGCGCGAATGTGGAGTAATTTATGTGAGCCTCGGAGACGCAAGTGCGGCGTAAATTTAAAAGGATCGTGGCCTCGGAGACGCGAACGTGGCGTAATTTACGAGGGATCGTGGCCTCGGGGGCGCGAATACAGCGTAATTTGTAAAGGATTATGGCTTAGGGGGGCATGAGACTCCCGTATTTTCACGTGTCCCACGCCCCCCCCAGAAATTCTGAGAACCCTATCAGGGGACGCTAACCAGGGCTCTTTTCGGCCCCCCCCCCCTTGCGCGGACAGTAGCAATGTACAGTAGGAAGCAGAAAGCAGTACTGTAACAATGGAAACTGGAAGCTGGAACTGGTGCAGGGAGCAGCAACCTTAATCCTCGCAGCCTGATGGCCCCGCAAGGGGGCCAGCGGATTTTTGGTTTGGCCTGGGGATGTGCATTCATTTTTGGTGGACTGAACTTTCTGATGGCCAACCGTGCGGGTGTGGCCCGTGGCGCCGAATCGGGGCAATGCCGATGCCACGCGTCGTTCTGCCCTCCCGATTTCGGCGCCAGCCAGGGCGTGCGATAGTTCACGAGGGCTGAGCAGATGTACCGCGTGCCAGCACAAGGCAGTGCCGAGTTTAACTTTGCTTAGCAGCAACGCGCCAAACAAAGGACAAACACGTCGTTGATTGAGCGGTGATGTGTTCCGAATGCGCAGTGCATGTGGCTTGACGTCAACGATGATTTGCAGTTTCTTGCGTGGCGGCGGGGATCGGTTTTATGCCTTCAATCGAGGTTTTCTGGCATGTTCGTCCACCTGCGAGTCGGCGTACGTCGTTTTGCCAATCTCCCTGACTCATATCGGACTCGATCTCCATTGGGTCCGCGCAAAGGAATCGGCGGCCCGTTCCACTGCTTCTGCCGGGAGGCTGTGTGATCTGCACCTTGCAGGACAGACACAACGTCTACGCACAGGATGTTCGGAGGAACATTTTCGGTGTTTGTGTCGGCTGAGTGAGGTGGTCCACAACTCGCCAACCTCTGGGGTGCCGCCTGCGATTTGCTCTTCTGCGTCCTTCGGGGTCGCCCCGCCCTTTTTGTGGCCATCCAGATGCGGGCGAGGGTCCTCTTGGACAGCCGGCAACCCCGCTAAGCCTGCCGCGCCTGCTGCTCCCATGGGCACCGCTCTCAGGTCGGCGCCCCGGGCAGCCGGCCAGGTGGATGCACACAGGGTCCGCTGTCCGCTTTCCCGGCCCGCCAGGGAGTAGCAGGATGAGGAGAAGCAGGACGGGGAAGGTGAGGAGGAAGTGGAGGAGGAGGAGGAGGAGGAGGAGGAGGAGAAGGAGGAGGAGGAGGAGGAAGAGGAGGAAGAGGATGAGGAGGAGGAGGAGGAGGAAGAAAAGGAGGAGGAAAATGAGGAAAAGGATGAGGAAGAACAGAAGGAGGAGAAGGAGGAGGAGGAGGAGGAGGATCAGGACCACTGTAATGTAAACCCAAGGCCCAAGACTCATCAACAATGTTGGAGTACACCCTCCCTCCAAACTCCCTTTTCATAGGCTTTTCCAAAGGGAATTGCCCCGTAAGGGGAACAACCGTGTGGAAACCCTGAAACGTGCCAAAACACCATTTCCAGGAGTCCAACGCCACGAAGTAACCCGATTGGCACGTCTTGGCGATCTTGAATCGTGCCAGAACACCATGTCTGGGATTTCAGCACCGCGAATTCGCATATTTTTTGCGCCGTGGCAGTCCCGAATTGGGCCAAAACGCCATTCTTGGCACGCTAGCCATGAGAATCAGTGAAACTTGTGCGATTCTTTAAAACGAGCGTTCGCGGCGCTGAGGCGAGGGCCACATTTTGAAAACGAACCGCCCTCAATTCGTAAAGCTCTTGCACCTTTTGATAACGAGTGTGCGCGGCGCTGTGGCGAGAGTCAAGTCACATTTTGAAAACAACTCGCCCTCAATCCGCGAAGCCCTTGTGAACTTTTTAAAAAGAATGTGCGCGGCGGTATGGCGAGAGCCACATTTTGAACACGACCCACCCTCCATCCGAGAACATCTTGCACGTGTATAAAAACGAATGTGCGCAGCACTAAAGCGAGCACCACATTTTGAAAACGACCCGCCTTCAATCCGTGAAACTCAAACAATTTGTTAAAACGAACGTGCGCGGCGCTAAGGCGAAAGCCGTGGAACTTTTGCAACGTTTTGCAACGAATGTGCTCCGCGCTGAGGCAAGAACCCTTTTTTGGAAGCGACCCGCCCTCCATGTGTGAAACTGTTGTCAGTTTTTAAGCTTCAGGCTCACGAGTGGTGAGGAAATCTCAGGCGAAACGCCCAGCCCGCCCTTTCGACCGGCCTCGGGGTGCGACAGGGAGGAGTTAATGGAGGAGGAGGAGGAGGAGGAGGAGGAGGAGGAGGAAAGGAGGAGGAGGAGGCTTAGCGAGGATTAGCGCAGCAAGGTGAAGATGGGCCGCAGCGGGGGCCCAACCTATCCGAGAGGAGAGAGACCGCATCCCTCACCCCAGGCCTATCCTGGGCGGTACTGGGGGGGTCAGATCAAAATGGCCTGTTCGTGGTGGGGTTTTTACCTTGCCACAAGCGGGTAAGACGTCCAGGGATCTTCCGAGGGTTACCCCCATGACACCTGGCTAAAACATCTATCCACCGGTCCTTGGCATACCTAGCACACACCCGACATAATACTACTCGAGGGAGGCGCACCACTTGGTGGCCTCTGGCGCGGGCCCGTTCGATCTTGCCTCCGTCCCTGTCCAGCAACTCTTCAGGGGGAAAGCGGGGGGGACCAGGCGTTGGAGGTAGAGGTCCCGCAGGCTCCTCCACTTCCCCGCTAGGCTCGGGGTCGGGGGGCCTGGGGTGGCTCGGAGCCTCTGTGGGAGGTTCCGAGCCTTCGGAGGTGTCAACGAGCCCTTGCCCAAGCACTGCTACGTAGGCTGCGAACTCTAACACATCTGAAACGAGTTTGATACGCTGGATATATCCTGCTCTGTGCCAGGGTGCGTGCTGCTGTGCTGCTTTGCTCCAAGCTTAGCACATTCGTCGGTGTGCCTATTTCCTGTAAAGTCAGTCGGGCCCATTTAGGCCCTCTGCTGTCTGGTGGCGTGCGCTTTCACCTTTCGCGAACTGATGCATCTAGGCCCTACTCCACCGTATTTTCTTATCAAGGTCCAGCACTCACGCCAGAGTTCACAATGCAAGGTGGCAGGGTCCTCGGCCCAGGCGGGGCCGCGTGCGAAGCCGTCCAGGATGGCCTGGCAGTCGGACCAGATGCGGACAGGCGCGCAGGAAGGCCATGAGCTCGCTCTTTGTAGATGCTCTGGTCCCACTGCGCGCCTTGCAGCGGCCCGTAGACCCCGAACTTCAAGTCATTGGCCTCCGTCAGCTGCGCGCAAAACCATCCTCCCCTCCTCAGTGCCGCGTGTGCGCCGTAGAGGAGGCTGCCGTCTGTGTACACGTCGCCCGTGACCAGTCCGTCGTGGTCGCCGTGCACGAAGATCTCGCTGGAAGACTGCAGTGCATCCAGCCCTAAATCCATGTCGGGGTCGCTCGCCAGGCCTCTGCCCCAGAGCTGCTCGGATCCTGGCCAAGGTCGAGCTAAGCGGTGGACGATGTGCCGCCCGCCGACAGCGCGGCGGTGCTCCACGCTGGCGGCACACTCGAAGCTGCGGTAACGGTCCGTGCCGATCTCCGCGTTGCATGCCTTGCAGAGGGGGTCGGTCACGGCGCCCTTCTGGTGGAGCCACTCCTGTGGCCATGTGCCCCCGCACCAGAGCGTGCGCACGCGGGTCTGGTGCTCCCGCGTCCACCTGCCGTTGATAGGTCGCCTGAGCAACGCCCGCACGGGCTCCACGAACAGCGATTCCAACTTGAAGATGTCTCCCCACTTGGCGAGCCAGGCGTCCTTGAGGCCCTACTCGGTGGCCTGCCTCACGCGGTGGCGTAGCTCTCGCAGCGTCACGATGCGCAGGTCGAGCATCTCGACGCCGATGGTGATGGAGTGCGCCGCCTGGGTCTGCCAGCCCAGCCGTCGCACGGTAGCGATGAAGGCGCCAACGGGCCCTCGGGCAATCTGCCAGGGCACCTCGGCGCGCGCCACCCTGAGCACCCAGCGCTTCCAGGCTGCCTGCGGGTGGCCGATGAGGTGCGGGTGGTGCTCTGCTTCTGCCAGGTCTGCGCCCAGGCCAGGATGGGCGCCCCGTTGGCCCTCGCACCTGGGTCC